ATATAAAAGGCGAACAGCTGCGGGCTCGCAGGCGTAAGCAATGGCTTTGGCGTGGAGCCCGTGGGCTACGTTGTGTGCGGACGCAGGTTTCCCTGAGGCGCCGTCGGGAGCAGGTGGATGACTGTCCGCCTCTGAAGAAAATCTGATTCCCCATGAGGCCACTCGTCCTGTCCTATGGAACACGTCACCCAATATAGCATTTGTTTAAAACAGCACCAACAACAAAACAAAAACCATGACACACTTACAGGTAGTGTCCCACAGAAGAACTCTCCGCCGCCGCCGAATCCAAAAAACTATCAGCTGGGATCGAGTTCTGCAAACCAGAAAGGAAGAATGCCAAGGGCCACAGCTGCTCCACAAAACCCGAGTCAATGGGTTTAGAGTTACCTGGGACAACAACCCACATCCAGTGCAAGGAAATCCAGATAAAGTCTCCGGAATTTCCTAGAAACTGTTGGGCGAGGGGGACGGGTGTGTGTGTGTGTGTGTGTGTGTGTGTGACCTATTTTCTAAGTTCTAAAATGCATGAAATAACAATTCAAGAAGCCTCCTCTAGCTCCTCAATGAATTTTACTTCTCTAGCTCAGGATTTCTCACCTGAGGGCTATTGACATTAGGGCCACATCATTCTGTGTGTGTGTTTGGTTTTGGGGGTTTTTTTTTTGGGGGGGCGGAGGCGGCCTGTGCTTTGTAGGATGTTCAGCAGCATCCCTGCTCTCTGCCCGATGCCAGTAGACCACTACCCCATTATGACCATCGAACATGTCACTAGACATTGCCCAAGATCCCCTGGGCGCCAAAAATCATCTCCGGTTGAGAACCACGGATCCAGCTGTTTAAAGAATTCTTTAAAAAGGAGTCTCTCATCGCCGGTGCATTCCAATTGCCTGGCTCCAAGCAACTGTGCATAACACCCTACCCACCCGAACGCTCCGGCTCCCTAGGCTTGCTTCCCCGGCTGCTTGGCCTCCTCCGTCACAGGGCCGCACCCTAGTAAAATGATGATCGCTATCTGTGCGAGATAGCAGCTAATGTTCTCCAAATATGTGGAAATTCCTTTGTCAAGTGCTATACAAACGTTAGTTATTTTTACTTCCCAAAGTATTTCCTTTCAAAAGAGGGTAGACCCTATGGCAAATAAAAAGTTTATTTTCTGGTGAATAAAGCCATGCCCAGAATCCCAAATTACTTGGCCTTGTGAAAAAAAAAAGAAAAAGAAAAAAAAAAAGAGGAGGGGGGGGAGGAGGAGGAAGAGGAGGAGGGGGGAGGAGGAGGAAGAGGAGGAGGAGGAGAAGAGAAGGAGGGAAAAGTGAAAGAAATTGAAGATAATTGGATTTGAGTTTTAACTTTGATGCTAACTAGTTCTGTGATTTCAGAGCATGAAAATTTCCTAAACTATTCCTAAGTTTACTTCCCTAAATGCTCTCATCCATAACATAACAGGTTAACTGCATATTTTTTCTAGCTTTGAGATTCTGGTAGCCTCTGCATATGGAATCTAACATGGATAGCATAGGGAGTTAAGAAAATATAATTTCATCCCAAAATAGAATGAAATGGGTAATCTGTGCTTTGAAACCCCACCAGAAGAGTTGTTCGTCTTTGTCACAGGCAGATTCACCCACAGAGTCACCCTGGCAAATTTGTAACTGAGTGTTTCGGGTGAGTAGTGAAAGCCAAACTGTAAAAACAAGTGTATGATGGAGAGTAACCATAAGAAATACCTTTCCTCCTTCCTCATCTTGGCGTCTGCTTAACCCATCATTTGCCAACAGCCTCTATTACATGTTTATGTAATAAAATGTTGTTCCATTTTATTATGCTAAAGGCTTAGGGGAAATATATGAATATTGCATTTCAGCCATTTGCAACAAGTCTGAAATCTCAATTTTCAAGATTCTTCCATTCCCTGTTATATGTGAAATCCTTAACTAAGGCTATTATATCTCTTTGGTTTTATCATCTCTATACTAGTGAAAGCCAAAGTTTTCATAACTGAATTAGTAGCCTAATCACTTATGACTGTATGAAACAGATGATCAGAAATGATGTAAATTAAAAGAATGCTCACTGATTGAGATGTAAGAGAAGTTATGAAACAAGTCATTAATTATTACACAGTATCTAAAAATTTTAAATACCATAAAAACAAAAAGCAAACCAATAAACCATGAATTTTTCTAATTTAAGTGGGTTTAGTTATTATCGTTTTGATGTTTTAGAGTACTTCTTAACCTTTTATAAATCTAGCTAAAATGATTATGTCCCTAAGCTAAGGACATTACACAGTTGTTGCCATGTGGAATGGGAAGTCCTACTGTCTTTGGTTTGTTTAGCATCAGTGTCATTCAATACAGGTGTGTATCATTCAACTCAGTTGACTTCAATATTCACT